GAAGGAAATGTTTGGGTAATAGGACCTGCCCCTTGGACTATGTTTTCCTTAGTGAAGACATTTCAAAGCTATGGCTCTTTGGTTCTGGAGAAGGGTATTTCTTCAACGTTAATTAGGCTAGGAAGTTCATTTAGCTTGAAATAGATTTCCACGGTGTCATAGTCGAAGAGACAGAGCTTTGTTTTCTGGAGCTATTGATTGCTCTAAGAAATAAAAGAGTGAGAAAAATCAGAAGAAGGGCTGTGGTCACTCTTGAGCATTACCCTGGGAGGAGGATATTAGTGTTCTTCAAAGTGACTTGTATGGCATTCAGCCTTACAAAATGAGTTTAAAATTTTTTAAATTTCCTCCATGCAGAAAGAGTATTTTACCACATTCACAACCCCTCCCCACCTTTCAACTCCTCCTGTTTTTCCTCCCATGTTTCACTCCCAGCTTCACCTCCTCGATTTTTAATGTAACCCACTAAGTCCAATTAGAATATTCACATGTATTTGTGAAAATCCACAGATAAATTCATAGCTGATGAATGGGTTTTTTTAAGTCTAGTGGGAGACTATCAAATTTATTAATTTAATAAATGAATACTATAACACTAGAAATAAAAGTAAACAGGGTAGACATGATTATTCTCATGCTCAAGTCAGTAGTAGTAAATGTTAAGAATCAAGAATAATGATTTGATTGTGGGCCTAAAACATGCTATAAGCATTCATATTAATCACTTATAGCCATCTCCTTGGATTTGAGCAGATGGATTCAAAGCAGAGTTTGTGAAGGAAAATGGCTCCTGGGCAACATCAGAAGGACTGACTGACATCACAGAAAAAGAAAGGGTTCATAAGTACCATTTAAACACAAATGGTTCATTATGTACCATTTAAACATAATAAAGCGTGATTTTTATGGGTGTTTTAAAGTTTCCAATGTCAAATTTTCCATTTTTGTGGGGTAAAGCTCTTGTGGTTTGAATCTGAAGTATCAACCGAAAGGGCTCATATAGAATGTTGGATCCCTTGCTACACTGTTGGTGGCACTACTTCGGGGAGACTGGTTTATGTTGGCACCTGTTTCATCAATGGGCTAATCAATTAATGAAGTTATAGCTGAATGGACTCTTAGGAAGTTAAGCCTAGACATAGGATGTATGCCATGAATTATTTTCTCCAAGGTGTGTCACTAAAAAGTGAGTGAGACTAGTGCAGTTCTTTGCATTCTAATTTATGATGCGTTTAAGTAATGTTTGTAACATTTGAAGCAAACATACAAGTAATATAAGAGTAAGACATGTTTGGGCAGGAAGATAAAGCTAATGACTCAGACTTGAAATTCTTCTTAGTGACTACCAAACAAAACATTTGTTATTTATTTTGCCTCAGATAATATCTTAGTTACTTTTTGATTGCCATGAAAAAATACCATGACCAAAGTAACTTATAAAAGAAAGCATTTAATCTAGGGCTCATGGTTCAAAAGGGTTGTCCATGACCATCATTGTGGGGATCAGGGCAGCAGACAGGTAGGCATGGAACTAGAGCAATAGATGAGAACTTATATGTTGATACAACAACCATCAGGCAGTAGAAGAGAGGGAGAGAGGGAGGGAGGGAAGGAGGAGGGAGACAGACCCACACACCCACACCCCCCCACCCCCCCCGAGAGCGCTAACTGGGGAATGATAGGGGACTTTGAAACCTCAAAGCCCACCCTTAGTGATATACCTTCTTCAACAAGGTCTCATCCTTTAATCCTTCTCAAGCAGTCCTACCAAGTGGGCACTAAGTATTCAAAGATATCTATAGGGGCTGCTCCTATTTAAACCACTGAAGATACTGACTTAAATACCCTTGCCACACACCAATCACGATATATTAGAGGTTGGTGCTATGGTTACTTCTCAGGAAGTCACTTATTCCCTGGGATTTCCTTCATGTGAAACCACAAAGCATTTCCATAAAGATTGTAAAACTAATTTATGAAGGCAGGTGGCCTCTGGAAACCTGGGGTGATGTCAGAATACCAGAAACCACTTGATGTACATTGCAGGAAAGTTTTACCAATATTGGTTTACCATGTTCCAGTAGTCTAGAATAATCTTACACATTCAGATTAATTCTATTTTTACCTTTCCCCAGAAGGGTGACTAGTTACAGGAGCCAGCAACATCTTTGATACAGAACTACTTCAATGTGACATTTCAACATGAATAGAAATGACTTATTTACTTAATCCTAATTTGAATTGTTTATATAAATTTAAACGAGTGTATAATTTGTACAGTTAATAACATTGTATAGTGTTTAAAATACTTATAATTTCACTATATGTATAATTTAAATACCAAAGGCATTGATTGGTATGGCTTGGCATTGATTCTATGATTATTTTGCCACTTACAAAAGTAAGAGATTAAATGTCCTACATGAGCTCTTCAAGTGAAAGAAAACAGAAGCCAGGACCAGGCTCCCCATCCTTCCTGGATTGGACTTTTAGTTTGCTGCTGTTTAATTTAAGAGCAGATATTTTTCTGTCTAATTTCAAGAGCAGTGGGATGTCTTGATATTGCAGAATCTGTGAGCTCATTCATGTCTGCTTCATGCATACTCACTGTATGTGTATTTCACCTGTTCACAGATTAAGGTTTAACACTTGTGCTTCCCTTTTTAATGAGCCAAGAAAAGAATACATTTACCCAATACTGGAGATGTCCTTCCTCACATGTTCTGGTCCAGTTAGTTAGATTCTTTGGTTGTTGGTTTCTTTTCTTAACTTTTTATTGATTCTTTGAGGATTTCATATCATGCATCCTGATCCCATTCATCTTCCTGTCCCTTTCTTTCTGGCCTCTGCCCTTGCAGCCTGGCCCACAAAATAAAATTTAAAAGAAAAACCAAAAATAAACACAACCAAACAGCCACCCCACCCAAACAAACAAACATTTTTTTCTAAAATAGTCTTATGCAGCCCAGCCTGGCCTCAAGCTTGCTATGTAGCCCAGGCCACACTGAAATTTTGATAATTCAGGCTTCCAACTCCAAATATCCTAGGATCAAAGGCATGACCCAATGTACTTGGTTCATTATCCAGGTTCTACATTATTTGGTGCCTTCACCCCCAAACCACCTGCATCTCTCTAAAGAAGACAAACAATGGGCAGTGCCAACGGCTCTGCTTGCCTAGTGCTGGGGAAAGATCTAGTGGCATTTCTATCATGAGTCTTCTCTAAAGGTTTATAACTCAGTCATAAATACTTAGCCTGACAGAAACTTACCCTGGAGGGTCACAGGCCCATAGAATATTATTCATTTATAAATTTTACTGACTTGCTTGAAATTGTTTTAACTGCATTTATCCTTTGTGATAGGAGGAAAAATAATGGCTTCATAGTTCAAGACAGTTTTGTCCTCCTATGAATCAATACAGCATTGGGATACATGAAAAAAGCCATTAGAAAGGGACCACTGAGAACAGATAATAATTCTTTCTTTAAGAGAAAGGCTTGAGGGCTGGCATTATTCAACCACAGATCTATTAGCACAACTTAAGGGTAAAAGTGAATGTTATGAACTATTGATTAACTCCCCAAACCATCCTGTTTGCTGTTTTTCCATCCACACAGGTCTTATGGAAGTCCATGCTTGCAGTGCTCTGGCCATTCCCTTAGTAGCTACATAAAGAAGGCAGGGAAATGAGCGAGAACAGTGGTGGCTCTAGGCTGTGCTGGTCCATGTGTGGCTGAATCTGCACTGCTCTGTACACCCATTTCTGGAGGGAAAATGCTTGTTTGGTGCCTGATTTTTAAAATATGTAGGGCTTTTCAAAGCAATATAACTTCCACTAAATCAGTTATAAAGCAGGTGTTTATCTGTCACCCTCTCTCTGTAGTGCCTGTTATCCAGTACACCAGAAGACTGCAAGCATTTAGACACTGAACAGAATAACCTGAAACTAATGGTCAAATTCATTGAAAGAGGTTGGTCATGGGAAACAAAGGTCAAGACAAAGCATTGAACTAGGATTTATAACTGAGAACTCTGATAAAAATAGCCTAAAGTCATATAATTGAACACAACAAAAACATGATCGTAACTCCTAATGATTCTGAATATACTTTGAAAAGGAGCCGCCTACATTTTGTCCTTTAAATGTAACCACTGAAATTGAACAAAGAATTCTTTTTAAGCATATAAGCTTATACTTACTAATAGATTTTTCTGATTCAGAAAGCAATGTATCATTTAGAAAATTTGGAAAAGAACAACAAAAAAGCAAGGGAAAAATATATTCTGAATTTTTTGTATGTGTGAATTCATGAGTGTGCGTAGTTATATCTGTGCAAGTGCACCTGTGTATATGTGCATGTGAAGATCAGAGGCCAACTTTAAGTGCTGTTCCTCAGGAGCTTTTCATCTTGCTTTTGGATTCTGGGCCTCTCACTAGCCTGGGGCTTGCCAATTCAGCCCATAGATCTTCTTACTGTACTGACTTTTTTCTACTATAATGAAAGAGCATATGCGTTCAATGGGTGCTATTAACATGATTGTTCTTTTTTTAAGGTCTATTTTATTTCTTTAATTATATTTCTATGCCCATGTCTGTGTAATGTATGTAGCTTTAAACATAAGTGCTTTTGGAAGCCAAAGTGCCAGATTCTCAGGTGCTACTGTTACAGGCTATTGTGAGCCACTGTGTAGATGCCAGGGACCAAACAGGTCCTCTACAAGAGAAGTAACCAGTGAACCATCTTTTCAGCCTCATATTCTTGTTCTTGTTGTTGAACCCAGTTTAGTCAAGGAAGTAATGAAAACCTGAAATAGTCATAAGAATTAAGAAGCCTCTCAAGGGAAAAAAAATGCCTTTTACCCTCAACCCCTCCCATTGTTAGATTCTTTGAGTTTGATTGTTACCCTTTCATGATTAATGGATCCTTTCTTCTTTTTCCTACCTTTTTTTGGTGGCCCTAATTAAATTATTAATTCATACCCTATTTTTTCTTCTAGGTGGAACCAATAAATATTTTATTCTTCCCATTGCTGGAGGGTCAGTTTCACTGGTGCTTCTTATCCTAATTATCATCATCATCATTTTTTATAACAGGTGAGTAAAGCAACTTAACCTGAGTCTTATTTGTCTTGAATAATTCTAATATTTAAGGTTCTCTACGAATAACCCACCAACTTTTTCAAGCTGACTCAGGATTCGTGTGTGTGTGTGTGTGTGTGTGTGTGTGTGTGTGTGTGTGTGTGTGCATGTACATACTTATAAATTTACTAATTTTAAGCGACAAGAAGCAGGGACAGTAATATTATAGACAAAAGCTGGAATCCTTCACTTAAGAATTAATAGAGTTGGCAGTGTGCCCTCATAGTCTAGCAAATTCCTTTGTTCTATCTCCATCTTCCCTTTCTCCTCCACCATGGGATGAGCTGTCAGTTGAGAAAGTTTTGTATGAGGGAGCTGGAGTGGGCAACAGAGAGGGAGGAAGAAACCGGGAAAAGATGGGTAAAGTTTTACTCATTCATGCACATTTTCTACTGCAATGTGGCAAATAAGAGGTAAGGAAGCTTACCTATGTATCAGCAGGATAAGTGGTTTGATAGCTTCCAAAATAAGCTGTCTAGAGATGTTAAATGAAGTGACTTATATAGGAGGTGGAAGGATGACCTTAAAGAGAGGTTGAGGTTCTACTGAAGCTTCTTACTTTTTACTGTATTTTGACATAGAGAAAAATTCTAAAATTTTCTTAGTTGGCCCTTTCTTTCCCTTCTAGTTCCCCCATGAATCCTACTGATTTGTCTTGTATTTCTCATACTTCTTAACTTGGATTGTATTGGATAACTTATACTATATTCCAGCTGAAGTGTTCCCTGCTCAAGTGAGGCAGGGCGCACTCTTTGAACATTAATATTTTTCATGTCTGGAAAAGCACAGGCATTTAATATGGTTGTTTTGATAAATGAATAAATAGAATTTCACTCTTCTTTTGCTGATAATTAACACACACACACACACACACACACACACACAGAGAGAGAGAGAGA